TAACACGTGCTCAGTGGAGGTTGATGCTGCTGGTCTAGGGACCACACTTTGAGAAGCAAACCTATAATCTTATTCAAAGATGTCCATGCCCTTCAACGCAAATTTTCTGAGCTTCTCCCACATGCCCAGCACCCATGAGATACTCCTGAGGACTCAGTATGAGGCACCCAGCTGTGTGGCCCAGGGTTTTGAGAGCAAGGGCAGAAGGCTGTGTCAGATGGCAGACGGTGTGGTGAAGGTGTGGCGCAGTGGCATCATAAATGTGATAATTCTCAAGATTCTTGAAAAGCTAACTCATTCTGCCATGGCAACCAGCAATCAGAGATGTCAGGCGATAGATTAAAACTTGACACCTCATTTGATTGGAGGGGAACTGAAGATAGCAAGTACTTTATATTTGTGGAACACCTTATTTTTCCATGGAGCTCCAATCATGCTGCCTACTCCCTCACCTGGGGAAGGGAGGGTAGAGGGGAGCTTTAAGAACAGGCTGCAGGTTCTAAAGCCGTATTATTAAGTGAATGCTGGCCAGCTGTTCTCAATGCCCCTTCCTCCCACAACCTGAAAAACAGCACAAGAATAAAGGGCTAAAATTACCTCAGATTATACATAGCAAAGACTTTCTCTTAGAGGAAGTTCTGTGGTTGGAAAAGACTCTCAGGGAAGGTATGGAGTTCCCTGAAAAGGAAAGTCTTACCATCCCAGCTCGGCCATTTCTGGCCATGAAACGGTGGCTAGTCACACAATGAAGGAGGAATCAGAGTATCTGAAATGGCCCCTCCTGGCCCCTGCATTCTACAAAGTATGACATTTGACTCTCTGGGGACCACAGGATGGGTCGGAAGTGCGCATGCCTCAGAGGGACCCTAGAGGATCCTTTCAGCCCAGAGGGAACCAAAATCCTTTGGCTCAAAGAAGCACATTGCCTGCCCCTGTGACTATTCTTCTTCCCCACCCTCCCTCATCCTCCCCACCTGAAAAGTGTAACCCTGCCCGCAGGCCTCTGCTGAAAAGGCCCAAGACTGGCCCAGACACACTCTGTTCTCTGCTGATACTCCTGCTCTTTTACATTTCCTACACACCTTGCAGGAAATCAAAGCAGTTAGTCATTCCTGCCAACTCAGCATTCCCAATCCTCCCTACCTCCTTCCCATCTCTCCTGCTGGGACTGGCTTAACCAGTCCAATCTGAACAAGAAACTGGTTGATCTGTAAGGGCCCCATGTTTAGACCATGGGACACACCAGACATCTGAAGGCTTTGGGGCCTGTATCATTAAACAGAGAAAATAGGATGTAGAACGAGCCTGGGAGGAGGTGGTATTTCCCCAAACCCAGATTTTTGGTCCTTCTGTCTGCATGTTGAACTTCTACTTGGATCCTTTTGTCATTCTAGAGCACTATATTGTTAGATCTATAAGTCAAGGAAATGGAATATGACTGGTATCATTAAACCTTCAAGACCAGTGGCTTTGAGCTGGAAAAAAAGAGAAAATTAATTCAATGCAGCCTCTTGTTTAAGAGATGAGAAATCCTGACATCCAGAGAGGAAGTGACTTGTCCAAAGGCACGCCTGGCCCGTGGGACAGCACAACCAGAACTAAAATCTAGGGCTTTGCCTCTGCGTTATGCTTCTCTTTCATCACATGGCCCAGGGTTGAAATCTGCTTCTGAGAAAGCGGTGCTCATTTCTTTTTCAGTCCTGCCAGCTCCAGTGTCAAAGCAGAACCATTAGTTCTTCAGCAGAAAGGGGTCAGGCCCACTTTCCTTTCCTTTTGTGGACTGTTGGCTAATTCTCATTCTGTGATCTTTGTCATTGGTGACAATGTGCAACACTGAGCAAAAAATAGCAGATTTGTTCCCCACATTTCAAGCTGAGCCTGAAGTGCTGGCAGTTTAAACGAACTACACAAATAAATCTTATTTTGACTCATAGTCCAGGGGGTGGATAAATATGGAAACCCCCAAGATATAATTTTACAGTCAATTTTTTTCTTAGCATAACTGAAGGCTTTAATGTGCTGAGAAATTTTTGTTCTGGCCCCAGAGAGATAGCACCCTCCCAGCTAAGTGCTTTTCTTGCCTCTCAGCAAGTAGATGTACACACACACACACACACACACACACACACACACACACACACGCACACACTACAACCAACCAAGCCAGCAGCTGCACATTCGAAGCTGAATGTCAGTCCTTTGCTCCAAATTGACAGCCCTTGTTATTTAAAATTAGAGATGCATAATCTTTTGAATTCCAACTAATCTGTCTTCCAACAAGCTCAAGTTCACAGAAAGGCAACTAAAGTGATTGGAGGTGTAGAGAGGCTTCTGTATCTAAGTCAGAGGACAGAAACCAGCTCTGGAGGCCTATTTCACAGCTCAGAGAAGAAAGAAGAGAGGAGCAGAGAGGAGCGATTGGGGCGGGCCCCAGAGGACAGCAGAGTCAGGTCTGCAGAGATTGTGTGCATGGATAAGGGGCTTCAGTGCCTTCTGTCTGATCTGGCAGGCCTATGGGACTTTACCAACATCTATAGAAACATCAGCAGAGGTTGGGGGAGATAGACTTGTTCTCCAGAAGAGGTTAGCTTTGGACTTTTAAAAGGAAGTGTTGCTTCATCAGGTGGATAATTATGAGCATCATTGTGGCAAGGGATATATAGGTTGAAAACCTAGTTATGTATACAAAAAGGGTGGAGTTTGGGCAGAGATTAAAGTGAAAAAGGCACCCACCCAACCCCAACCCAGTGTGTCAGAGACTTGGGTCTGGAGTGACGTCTACTGGCTGCCCACGGGAGCCCACTCTCCAGTGTTATGTGTGGTCCCACTTATTTTTGCCACATCTTTGGAGAGAAACCGAATTCTCCTTTATCAGTGGCAGGTCAGGGCCCCTGGAGGGGAAGTGAGTTGTCCAGAGTGTCTATGTAAGAGGGACAATGCAAAGAGCAGAAGCAACAGCTCCAGATGGGGACTTTCTGCTCCTTCTAAGCTCTTCTATTTTTATATCCAGGAATTTCTTTAAAAAAAAAAAAAGAAAGAAAGAAAGAAAGAAAAAGAAAAAAAAAAAAGACTGCCCCTTGGGAAAAGAATGGCTCAGATGTCAGGCTTAGGACTATGACCTACCTCATCCGCTCCCCTCCTTCAGTAGCCAGCATGCCCTTTAAAAGGGAGGAAACTGAGGCCACCATTCATACCAGATTGGGTTAGACTCCTTCCCTGGGATTTCAAGTCTGATGCTCATATTTTCAGAGTTTCCATGTCAAGAAATCCCACAAGCCTTAGTCATTCCTCACACATAAATCTGCAAATATCTCTCCTGTGCTCCAAGCAGCAAGCCTTTTGGCCCATCTCCTGCCTTCTTCCTCTTTTCTTTCTTTTCTGTATAAAACTCTTTGCCCAGCCTTTGATGGCACAGTGCAGTTAGAGAATGGGGGTATTCCCATGAACGACACAGCATTCTTTATATGCCATAAGTGGGGTTTTCACTTGCAAATTATTTAGTGCAATCCACTTAACACACCATCTACAGTGCACATAATCAAATCTATGTTGATGGGTCAGAAGACAATGTAGGATCTTGTGCCTTTGAGTCACTATTAATATTACCAACATTATTTACCATCTTACCATGGATATGTGGAATACTGCTTTTAGAGGGCTCTAGTTCATAAGACACTAAATAGCAGAGAATTTGTTGGAAATCAGAATTTAGAGTAAAATATTAGGGAATTGTGGGCCCATATACTAAAGGGTCCTCATAACTCAGTGACTTTGATGTCAAATGTTCTCTTGGACTCTCTGAGCCTCACAAATTATCATTTAATAAATTTTTTTCCTGACTGAACTGCAATAAAATTGAATGTATAGTTTAAGGAATCATTGCAGCTTAATTTCAAATGTAATTGCATTTAAACTTGAAATAGGTGTACCTATTGGATGGGCTTTGGACATTTATTTGAAATGGCAATGTAAAATAGCTGAATTATTGGCAAAACTATAACTGTTAACTTCTTATCCCACAGCCCTCTCTCTTTAGTAAGACATTTAGCTACAATGAATAACTATCCTCTACCAAATTATGATCAAAAGCCCCTAATTAAATGTCTACAAATAAAAAATAACAACTATTTAAATGTGAACATTATCCTATTCCTTACTAAATAGCTCTTTGCCCTTAGGAGAGGTTCGGACAGTGCACCCATTTCACAGGGAGGACGCTGGGCACAGGGACTCTGGGTGCACAGGCCCTTACTAGTCTGCCACAGCTGCAGGAGGAGTAAACAGGGTTGACCCCTTCAATAAACCTGTCATTTCTGGCCCAAGAGGTGCAGTTACTATGGCCACACAGTTTTTCCCATGCAGGGCTTCCTTCAGAACAAGAGTGCTCAATGGCAAGGCTCTGCAGACACACGTGGTGACCTCTACGAGGCACACAACAGTCATTTTCCCGACACTGTGGACCCAATAACATGAATCATATTTGGACCCAACCCTCAGGGAGCTAACATACCTGATATGAGATGCCTGGAGATGCTACTTCTAACCCAGCAACCCTACAACAGCCCCAAACCACATTGCATTAATTCCTTTGGTTCATTCTTGTTAAGACTAAGTCTGGTCATGTAGGAATGCCCTCAGGGTGCTGTGAGCCCCGGAGAAGGACATATCGTTCAAATGTACCCCCATCCTGATACTCATTCCCAGCACATCCAGGGGCTCTGAGTGTTCTGAGCAGCATCCAAGGAGAGTGGCAAGGGGGAAGTCACTGTACTGACAGGGACTGGAAACACCCAGAGTCACCCAAAGGTGGGCATCGGGAACCTGGCAGAAGCCTTGTGAACTGAGGCCGCCACAGAAGTTGGGTCTCAGCTATCAGGATGACTCTGTTGTCACCTGGCAGGGCATTCGCAGCCAGATGTGCCTCTCCGTCCAGCATTTCAAGCCTGCCCTCTGGGTCTCCTTGTGGGTGCTTCTCTGAGTGGGGGCTGTCTGTTCTGCAGGAAGCTGTGGGGGACTGTATTCCTGTGCTTCTGCTGGGCAATAAAATTGACAACGAGAAAGAGCGGGAAGTTCCCAGGGGCCTTGGAGAACAGCTCGCCAAGGTAAGAGCAGCCTTTCCCATCTCTATGGACAGGGTGGCACCCAAGGCAGTTGGACATGTGTCCCAGAGCCTTGTGGAGAACCTCCCTGTGGGGAAGCCCCCGGGGAAGGAAGCAAGTGAGCAAGATAGGCGTCCTGGCATCGTGGGAGCAGCCAGCTCCTATGCGTGTGGAACTTTCCATGGGAGCCTCAGACTGTAAGTGGGAGTTGGTCAGGGATGACTAAGGTAATTTTCCCAAATTCTTCCCCTCAGAACTCAGAATTAGAAATTCTTAGATAGTAAGAAGTTGGCTAATTTGGTCCCTATCTGATGCTCAAACCCCATCATCTGTGTTTCCACTTGACCGTCTCCTGGGATGAAACACTCACTCACAGCAAGACTGGTCCTTCTTCGGACAGCTCTGTAGAGAGTGCATCCTGTTTGTCAGATTGAGCCTCAGAGCTGTGGACTTCAGACAAACTCGGGGCACACACTGGATGGCCTGCCATAAAACAAGCAGTGGCCGCTTGCCCAGGCCCAGAACCGACAAGGCTTGACGGAAATCAGGCAGCAAAACACGCAGTGTTCTCCCTGGGCTGCTCCAGCTCCCAGTATGGTTGTCAGGCACTGTGTGTCCGGGTGTTGTCTGGCCAAGCATTCATCATCTTAGTGTGCTCGTTCCAAACAGAGGCTCCTGGCTCAGAGGCTGGGAAAACGAGCACTGATGGTAAGATCTAAGGAAGATGGGCCTGGCAGGGGGTCCTGTGGAGGGCCACCAAACAGCTACATCCACAGTCCCTCACCCTCAATCCCAAAACCCAAAGAGCTCTGAAAACAAAAAGCGGTTTTGATTTCATCTGGCAGAAGCATCTGGCCAGAACTGACATGCAGCTATTTATGGTCTCTGTGTGCCACACTCTGAATGAATATTCAAATGTTTCCCTGAAGACATTAATATGCTTGGCTATACGATGCTGTCCCAGACCCACTGAGGGCACTAGGCAATATCGTGTAGACATGCATTATCTTTCTGAAACTCAAAGTTTCTGGATTCCAAAATACATCTGGATCCAAGGGTTTTGATTAAGGAATTGCAGATCTATATTTTTATCATCCCATTTTCTCCTTCCTCTTTTGTCAGTGAACTGAGGCTCAGAGATATTAAGTGATTTATTCAAAGTATCACACAGGTCCTCAGTGGTGAAGTCTGCACTTGAAGCTGGAAGACAAACTGTGTCTTCCAATCTCAGGTCCTATGCACACTCCCCTCTCACCCCCCTCCGCCACCTCCCCTGAAACCTTCATTCTTCACAGACTGACCAGGAGTCAGGGTCTGACTGAGGCGGGGGGGCGGGGGGGGTGTGGAACAGGAGTGAAGAGGGTGGAAGTCAGAGCTGGGTCTGTGGGGTGTGCAGCAGGAAAGCTGAATTGGAAACAAGTATTTGCACAGCCTTTGATCTGCAGCCACAAAAGAAGTGTCCGCACTCAGCTGCCTGCATCCCACAGGACATCAGCCTCCAGGCTCAGTGCCATTAGCGCCGTCATAAGGAAGCAGGACAGCTATAAATGGGAATGATAAATGAAAAATGATGAGCCTTGGCCACGGGCCCGCTGTGCCTGTAGCCCAGCCTCTGCCTGGTGAAGGGATGGACAGCTGCCCATGCGCATCACTGACAGCCACCCCTGGAGTGCTAATTACCTGTGGGAAGGAGCATTCCTATGGGAGCCTTCAGTGGCATCTGCCCCTAGGCCATGGCATGCCTGAGTCCCGGGAAAAGTATGCTGCTAAGAGCCCTGCCATTAACTAAAGACAGGGCTGGGGCGGGCAGGCCACTTTTATCTTCCCTAGCCTCAGTCTTCCTGCCCATGAAGTGGGAAGAATGTCGCCCATCCTGGCCTCTGCGTCTTACCTGCATCATAGGCTGGTGTGGAAAGGAAATGAGTACTCGCTCTACCAGAGCGTAATTAGAGGGAGTGTGAAACACTAAGGCAGTTTATGGTTTTGTTGCTTTACAGTTGTTACAACTCACCTGGGAAATGGTTACAGAACTTGCCTGAGAAGGCAGAAATCAACCTCTTTGAGAATGACGAGGAGGAGTTTGAGGGGACTTGGAGAGAGAGCAGGGGTGTGGGTAGATGCAGACAGGGTGCTCTCCCCTACCCCACAGTTCTCTCCAGCTCCCCTCCTTTCATTCCCTCTGTTTCATGATTCTAGGAGAACAATCTGATCTTCTATGAATGCAGTGCCTATTCTGGTCACAATACCAAAGAGTCCCTGCTCCATCTGGCCAGGTAGAGTACAGCTCCACAGAGGGGAGGGGATGATGTGACTGCACTCACCACCACCCCCATGCTCCCACCTGGACCTCACTGCACTCACCATCCCCCACTCCCCACCTGCGCCCTCATTGTACTCACTCCCCCACCTTCCACCCAAAACTCACTGCAGTCACCATCACTGCCCACCTTCTACCCCCAACTTCATTGCATTCACCATCATCCCCCACCTTCCACCCCCAACTTCATTGCATTCACCATCATCCCCCACATCCCATAAACCTCTGGTCTATTTTCTGTCAGCCTGTGCCTCTGGGCAAGTGGGCTGGTGGCCTGGGCCTTTGGGGGGTGGGGTGGGGAGGCCGTTCCAGGGACAGGGTCAGCCTCTGAAACCAAGAAAGCCAAGAAGGAAGCCTCCCTGCCTGCCACTGGGTCTGCAATCTTCTCTCTTAAAGGCTGCCTTTTCCCCAGGCATTCTTTATTTTTATTTTTATTGCTAACATTATTATAGATGTCGCCCATTTTGCATTCCCCCTTTAGCAGCCCCCTATCTCCCCAGAACCCATCTGTTGTCTGTGTCCTCTTTTTAAATGCAAATGATCATGGGAAAGGTCTTATCTTAGGTCCCACTAAGCTGGCTCCAGTCTTAGCAGGGATTCCTGGCCAGCCAGCTGGGACCAAGGAGGGGTTAGGACTTCTAGGGAGGAAGAGGGGGAGGGGGAGAGGGAAAGGAGGGAGAGCCCCGGAGAGAAGTGCTGTGATGGGAGACCAGAGGCCCCCAAGGTGATGGCATTTCAAAGGCTGGTCCCATGGGAAGATGCTTCCATAAACCTCTGCCTACATCAAAACAGAAAATGCCACACACACAGGGCCCTGTTTTCCACACTTGAACATTCACTCCTTTATCCATCCAGGCACTTATTTTATCCCATCCATGCACCAGCTAACAAACACCTAATAGTACTCATTTGTGCTCAGCATTCATTCCGGGGCATCTAAACACATTTTTATTAAGAGCCCAGAGCAACATCTTTGCCTTGTCGAGGCTGTAGAGTGACAGAACGCCGTGGGGGAAGTTTTAGGCTTTTCTCTGCACTGATTCTCAGAGCAAGTCACTCTGCCTCTGCCCTTTGCCCCTAAGGTAGGAACATAAATTATACCTTTCCTGCCCACTCCCAGGTGGTTGTGAGAATGAAAACAGGTGCTGAAGGTGAAAGCACTTTGACAGTATAAAGAAGGATAAAATACTTAACAGTTTTTAATCCTTCATTTCCCACATGTAATCTGGAGTTGTGGCCCCATAGACAGCCCTTCCACAGAGTTAATAATTATGAAATATATGTTCCGAGCCTCTATGTGTTCCGAGGACTGTGATGGGCTGCAGAAATGCAGAGACAGAAGACAGTCCCTGCTCTCAGCAGCTCCTTCAGTGCTGAGGAAGCAACAGGGTTTGAACAGACAGGTCAGAGTGCTGCTGTCGCACTACACCTCCTGGAGAGTCAGGGAAGGCTTCCCGGAGGAGGTGGGAAGGCAACTAGTGACAGAAAGCTGGCTTTACAAATGACACTCATGTACCTGTACTCCACAGGGGGAGACTTGGGATACTCTCTCTGATACTCTGGTGAGGTTGCAGTCCTTCACTGTTACCCAGAGAGTCTGTAACCCAAGGACTTAGCAGCTACCTACTAGTGATGCTATCCCTTTCCTCCTCCCAGGATCCTCAAGGAGCAGGAAGACACAGTGAGGGAGGACACCGTTCAGGTTGCCCACCCTGCCAAGAAAAAACCCTGCTGTGGCTGAAGGCACGCCCAGGCCTCCCCCAGGCCTGGCTCACAGGGCCCACCTGAATCCTGCACATGGCTCCTGCACAGGTGCTCCCGCCACGGCCTGGCCAGACCTTTGTCCTTGAGAGGGACTTGTCTTCCCCAAAGAAAGGGGAGCACCTCTCAGGAGAGCTGCTCTTGGAGCACCTTAGTCTTTCCTCTTCCTTCTTTCTCTAGATCCCAGATGCCCATTCCTTTTCCACCCTCCCCCCACTTCCAGCTTGGCTTCCTGGGGAAAGAAACAGATGGGCTTTCCCAGAGAAGCCACCACGTGCCTTCTCCACCTCCCTTTTTCCCCCTACCCCTTGCCTTTAAGAGCCTCAGAATGCCGTTGCCATGGTAACTGTGCAGGGCTGACTTGCTGCTTCCTGCAGGCCACAAATTCAGCACTTGAGCAATGAATGCCAGGGTGGCTGTTCTGGCTTTGGCTCCTATTCTCTGGATGCCAATGGGACACTCTTGGCATGTGCTTCATGGACCTCAAGGTGCCTGTGTGGTACTAAGGGGAGCAAACCTGGGCACCCACATCCTATTCCCCACCCACATCCTCCATCCTGGGGCGGTCCAGCTCCTTCCCAGGTTTCAGGGCCCAGCCTCTTTGAGCAGCCACTGGCCCATGATATTTGCCCTATGGGTTCTCAAGAACAGTGCCTTACAAAGAACCCCCAGCCCTTTCTCCTCACCACCCACCCCAGAGCCAGGACTCTCAGGTGGACTGGGGGTAATAAATGTGTGCCTGGGTTAGGGAGTGGACTTCTTCCTGCTTCACTTTCAGAGATGAAAAGAAAACCAGGGGGGAAAAAACCATCTGCTGCTAAACAGAGCGACCATTTCTGGAGGGTATAAATAAATGATAGCTATGTAAAGCTGTTTTCTAAATGTTTCTCCAAATAGCTCTCTGAGAAATCCTACGTGATGATTGACAGGGAAGCGTGACATGCAGGCAGTGAGGCCCAACACCAGGTCTGTCATTACTGACTTCATTTTATTTGATTTGAGAAAGGGAAGCAGCTGTCCTGCTTCTGATGGAAATAGGATGGCAATTGGGATTTATGGGGCAAGTAGGCTCTCCGTGGGTTTGCTCAGCCACAGATGCATTTGTCCCTGAACACCTGATCCTTGGCTCGGGCTGCATTTTTTCCATTTAGAAGTGGATTCAGGACTTAGAACAGGGTGGGATGACCCCAGAGCCTGGCCTTCTAGCCCGTGGGGCAAATACCCACAAACCTTCAGAAGTCCCAAGAGACAGAGGGCAGAAAGTGTCTTGAGGCCTGTGCTGTTCCCTCTTCCAACCTCACTTGAAAAAGTGTGGATCATGAGGACTTCAGAGAAACTGAAAAGTCTCAGTCTCCCCTTCTCTCCCATTCCTTTTAAACCACCACAGTGATCAAAGTCACCCAGGGACTGGCAGCCTGGCCCTGAGCAGCAGTGATATCTCCATCCCATTTACATTGCTGTTAGGATCTTGAGCAAGTCACTTCTTCAGACTTTGGTTAATCTGTAGATTAGAGGTTTCAACATCAACCTCATGGGGATAGACAATAGAGCAACGTATGTGAAGTACTTAGCACCATGCCCAGCACAGGAGGTGCTAACAAATAGGGGCTATTACTGTTGGGCTGCTGCCCAGACCCTTTTCCTTGCTTCAGTTTCAGATAAGAACCAACTAACACCAAGTGTTTACCCCCAAACTGGATAAATCCCCATCCCCCAGTCCATTTACCTGGCTGATGAGCTTGTATCTGGCTTTGCCTCATGGCCTTGCTCTGACTTTGGCTCTCCAGCCAGTGTCTGTAGTCTACCAGTGTCTGTGGTCTGATTCCAGCCTCATAGCCCATTCTCCCTCCCTGTCTATGGTTCTCCAGGACTCAGACAGCAGCTCAGACCTGGTATTAACTCCTGGATGTTTGCCTGAAAATGACCGGTGCTCGTTGCCATTCCTAGCTCCTCACTTGTTGCTGTATTCTGCTTCCTTGTACTTCTTCTGTGGTCTGCTGCTGCTCTCAGCTTTGAGTTGCCAAACCATGAGCTTTGGCACCAAACCAATGCACCATTCATTTTCCATTCATGGACTCTTTGGGGTCTTTTCTGTTTCTCTGTGACACCCTAGCTTTCTTCCACGTCTTCTTATCCTGTACTCTTTCTCTATTCTTCTTTTAAAAAATTTTTTTTATTGATTTCAGAGAGAAAGGGAAAGGGAAAGAGAGATAGAAACATCAATTATGAGAGTCATTGATCTGCTGCTTCCTGCACATTCTCTACTGGGGGCGAGCCTGCAACCCGGGCATGTGGCCTGATTGGGAATCAAATCACAACCTCCTGGTTCATATGTTGATGCTCAAATACTGAGCCACTCTGGGCTCTTTCTCTATTCTTAATACCTCAACCCAGTCTTAGACTCTTCTCCTTCCTACTCCCCCCCTGGTCTACTCCAGGCCACACCCCTATGCTCTATCAAAATGTCTCAGCCCTTTGTTTCTGTCACAAGAGATCACTGCTCCAAAAGATCTTAAACAATTTTCTACTAAGATGTTAGTACAAATGGTGGCTTCAGGGTTATATTTACATTTTAACAAAGAACTCTGAGGGAGACTGAAACTTTAACCCAAGGAATGATTCTTCGTGGTAGACTATTAAGCATCATAATGGGTCATGTCAAATATTTAAGACAGAGCTGCCTTCTCCTAGACAGCTCTTAAAGACCTCAGTTTTCTCCATATATTTTGGGGCTCTATTTCTAGGTTCATATATGTTTGTAGTTGTTTATTTCTTTTTTATAAATAGCCCTTTTATCATAATAAAGTATCCTTTTTTGTCTTTATAGCAATTTGTATCTAAAATCTATTATTTCTGATATTAGTATAGTCACAACAATTCTCTGTCAGTTGCTGTTTTGCATGGTGTATTTTTTCCATCTTTTAACTTTCAACCTATTTGTGCCTTTGAGTTTAAAACGATTTTTTTTATAGATAGCATATTGTTATTCCTTCTATCTCTGCCTTTTAATTGGCAAGTTTAATCTGTTTACATTTAATGTAATTAGTAAATTAATATTTATGCCTCCCATTTTGCTATTTCTTGTTTATATTTCAATGCCTTTTGTTACTCTATTCCTCCATTACTGCCTTCTTTTGTCTTAAATAGTTGTTTTCTTGAATGCTGTTTTAATTCCCCTTTTTTTCATTTACTATATTTTTTAAACTTATTTTCTTGGTGGTTACCTGGGGTTGCTATTAATATCTCATTTATAATAAAGTAGTTTAGATTAATACCTACTTAATTTCAATGGAACACAAAACTGTTTTTGTATAGCTTTATTCCTCCTTCCTTATGTTGTTATTGTCACGAATTGCATATTTATACATTTTGTTTTCATCAACATAGATTTACAGTTATTTTATGGAGTTGTCTTCTAAATTAAATTAGAAAAAAGGAATTAAAGCAAAAAATACATTTATATCATTTCTATATTTAATTATGTAATTGCTTTTACCAGTGCCACTTATTTCTTTATATTGATTCAAGTTACTATCTAGTATTCTTTTATTTCAGTCATATTTATTATAGAGACAAACTTTCTCAGTTTTGTTTATCTAGAAATGACTGAATTATAACTGTAACATATAGAAGTTTTGGTTTATAATTCCCCCTACTACTTGCCAACCTTCCCTCTTCCTTCCCCCCTCTGCCCCTATACTTCTTCCCCCTCTCATTCAGTATCTCAGTACTTTGATATACCATTCTATTGTTTTTGGCCTCCATGATTTCTGATGAGAAATCAACTGTTAATCTAATTGAGGTTCTTTTGATTATAGTGAATTGCTTCTTGCTGCTTTGATATGCTTAGTTATGGAACTCTTTAAGTTTATCCTACTTGGAGTTGGTTAAGCTTCTTGGATATGTATATTAATATGTTTCATCAAATTTGGGGAGTTTTTGGTCATTACTTTGCTAAATATTTTTTTTCTGCCCCTTTCTCCCTCTCGTTTCCTTCTAGGACTCATATTATGCCCATGTTGGCATGCTCTATGATGTCTCACAGGTTTTGTGGCTCTGTCCAATTTTCTTTATTCTTTTTTCTTTGTGTTCCTCATACCAGATTATCTCCATTGCCCTATCTTCAAGTTCATTGAACCTTTCTTCTGCCTGCTCAAATATGCTATTGGGATCCTCTACTGAATTTTCATTTTCATTATTGTACTTTTCAACTTCAGAATGTCTCTTTGATTCCTTTTTATAATTTCTACTTATTTGTTGATATTCTGTATCTGAAGAGACATTGTTCTAATACTTTTCTGTAGTTCTTTAGGCATTGTTTCCTTTATGTCTTTGAAAATATTTTTAAAAGCTGATTTAAAGTTCTAAAGACCTGATATACAAATCAAGCTCTGCTTTCCACTCCTGCTTTCTTCCTTATATTCCACACTACATAGCCAGGACTCTGAGTTTATTTCTAAGCCCTACCTCTAAGCTCCTCACCAGCATATTTCATCTCTTCTTAATTGGAGGAAGAACATGTAACTCAGAAGTCCTTCAGATCTGAGAACCCTTCTCTCCATTTTGAGCTTCTGGGTTCTGTGCTAGATATAAGAAGCCCAAGGAGGTATCCAGTTCCTAGAAAGTGAAGAAGGCCAGACATCCTCAGGCAGTTTCTCCTCTTGCCAAGAATCCAGATATTCCACAAAGCTTTGGTCAAGAGGCATAAATGAAGGAAGACTACAAATCAGAAGCTTAAAAAAAAAGCAGATTAATGACTTCAAAATAATGAAATCATAGCATACAAACATACAAAACCTAAGACTTAAATGCCCTGTCATTGAGTGGCCCTAGGAGTACTGCCATCTCTCTTCCTGTCATCTAAGGAATAGAAATTGGTTTATACAAATTCTAATCAGGTTCAGTCAAAATTCATAAGATTTTATATTCTTATCCTGGGGTGTGTATGTTGTGGTGGGGGTATTGATAATGGTTGACAGG